CACTAGTCAGAAACTAAACTGGGAATTAGGGCTACTGTGGCAAGTATCTTGGTGCTAATCTCCCTGCACTGTTCGGGCAGGCGTTATCCTGGAGAATGCCAATGCCTGGTGGATGAGGAAGCACACCATGACTCTTCTGAGCACAAGTAGGTTAAAATTGCCCCTCCTGCTCTGCACTGTGCTGGTATGAAGAGAGACCCCACCGCCTTGCACTGTCCTATGCTGCCCTTTCTCTCTCGTGCCCTGACCCAAACCTCAGCCTATCTATCCTACATGAATATAGACTCAGATCTTGCATTCCCAGACCGACAAGCTCCAATGAAGCCAAGAAGGGAAGGCTTTGTCACTTTGCAGTCACTGATGCATCTGCCTGTGTTGTTTCAGTTCTCCACATGCTGCAGGAAGACCAGCATCCCAGCATGCAGCAGGCAGCAGCTCAGGTCCTCAGCCACAACTGGCCAGAGCTTCAGAGCACCTAGGAGGTCATCAGCATGACGTGCTCCGAGTGCAGAAAGTGAGCAACGGCAAGGCCAGACAGGCAAGAGAAGGGCAGGTTCCCCTGAGAGCTGGCAGCTTGAAGACCACGGAGCAAGTACAGTCAACTGGCACAAATAAAACATTGCTTAATGAACAGAAGCTCAGGCAGTCCTTTGGGGCCAAGCCTGCCAGCTCTTGGCCTGTGGGCAAACAGACCTGTTGCCTCTGAAGCTGCTCCTGTGCCATATGGAGGCAGCTGAGGGATGGCCCTGGGAGGAAGGCAGTGAACTCAGCACGGCTCCTGGCAGGAATGGCGCCTGGGAGCAGAGCAGCAAGGGGGCAGCTAGAGGTAGAAATGGAGGTGCACAAATACCTTCAGCACACAGGCACAAGTCCCATTTTCCTCACCAAGAAAATGCCAGTCACTAGGAAGAAGGTGAGACAGCAGAGTACTGCTAGGGCTGCTTTTGCATTCCCAAGTCCTGCTCTAGTCCATAGAAACGCACCTCCACTACTGTTGCTAGCTGGGGGACACCCTCAGCAGTGGCAGCAGACTGATGCTTGTTCTCTCTAAGGGAGAAAGAGCAGGCAAGACTATCATGTGTGTGGCTTGACCAACCCTTCTGCCCAAAGCAGGGGCTCCTACAGCAGATTCCTCAAAATGTCCTGTGGGGTGCTGAAGGCTCCAAGGATGGGGAATGCAGAATTGCAAGGTAGTTGGTCATTTCCCCACAAGGTGAGTCTCACTGTCGACAGCTTTTGGCAGGGGCAGGCTTGAAGAAAGGCAGTAGCATGCTGTTTTGCCACAGTGTGCATGAGGGGCTCTCACTTTTGCCTTGGTCACTTTTTTTCTACCATGGCTCAGCTCTGTAAAGGTGAGGGTCTCCCTTCACATGATTCCTGCTCTCCAGAGATTTTCCTGTCCACAGGAGGAAGACCAGTGCTCTCTGAAGGCACTGACAGACAACAACTGCAGGGCACAGCACTAGGCCACCTCATGGCTGCAGATCTGATAGTCTGCCCACTGTGCTGCTGCTCTAGAGACATGGGGTGGGAGGCTCTTTTCCATCGCTGAGAGAGCGTGTGGACACTGCGTCCCTGCACAGGAGCTTTCACTGCCTTCACTTAAGGACCTATCACCTTTTCAGTGTTATCTTTTCATCAAAAAATTCTAATTGGAGCAAGAATCAAAACCCTCTTTGACTGACACCAACTCCCCCATTTTCTGACAAGTCTGCTACCTGTGGCTGGACTACTCGCATGTTTGGACTTATAATTCCGTCTTAGCCATTGGAATGATTCCTTTCAGGGAAAAAAGAGGGCAATGCTGTAATTTACCACAGCCTTCATCACCAAAGTCTGTGGATGAGCCTGTTACAGACATCTAGAGGTGGCCAGTTTGCAGGCATGAAGACAAGAAGAGCCTTAGGAAGCAACCACCTCTTTGTTTCCCATTTGCATAGCTTTGCAGAGAAGGACCTGTGAGACCTAGCGGACAACGCTAGAGACATGGGCCAGCAAAGCAGCCTTGTAGCCCAGAGGGCCAATGGTAGTTCCAATGGTATATTAGGAAGAGCGTTGTGAGAAGTTCAAAGGAGAGGATCCTCCCCTTCTCCTGAGCAATGCTCAGGCTGCAGCTGGAGTAGTGCGTCCAGGTCTGGGCTCCCCAGTACAAGACAAACTTGCAGCTACTAGAGCATGTACATAGCAGGGATACTAAGATGATGAACAGACTGCAGCATCTCTCCTAGGAGGAAACTTCGAGAGGCTCCAGGGCCCGTTGACCCTCTGAGGGAGGCAAGGCTGAGGGAGGATCTTATCAATACGTCTAAGTAACTTATGGGAGGGCGCAAAGAAGATGGTCTCAGACTCTTCTTGGTGAGGTCAGTGGCAGGATGAGAGGCCATGGGCCCGAAGAGAAACACAGCAAATTCCATCCAATCATAATTTCCTCACTAAAAGGCTGGCTGAGCATAGAACAGCTTGCTCAGAGGGAAGTGTGGTAGATATTCATCCTTATAACCTGACTATGGGTAGGGGTCTGGGCCAGGTGCAAGATCTACCACCAGTACAGAAGGAATAACTAAATTAGACAATAGATTTTGAGTAAAAACTATTTTATGCTAAATTCCTCACAAATTGTTTCACATTTTAAGAACTCGTATTTGCACTAAAATAGTACTGAGCAAGAAGTTAACAAGGAATAATATGTTCAGTGGACTTTTCTGCCTTTAGCTTCTCACAGCTAATAAGGCAGACAGCCATTTCCC